TATTATACAACCTACTTAAAAATGAGAAGTGTATGACTTATTGCGGTTGGAATTCAAAACCTGCGTTAATTCTGTTACAACCTAATGCAAACACTATAAACATCGCCAACTACTTTTTGATTCGTGAGCGAATTATGAGATTGCATCTACAGTCGAGTAGCTTTTTCGTTTGATATGATGTGCTTACACTGGATTTAAAAAGCAGTAAAATTTGCGTGAACAATTAGCGAGCCAGTAATGGCCGAAGTCACAGGAGTAGCTATTTGTTCCAGCCATATTTTGCCGCTTTCCTGCAGTGCACAAGCACACTAAATGAATTGAGCGGAAAAATCTACTCGACTGTGGGATATTATATACTAGCGTTGGTTTTCAAGTTTGCTGTTTAGCCTTCCTCAAAAATTTTTGCAACATGGTTTCTGCAAAACATAGAATGCATGACTTTGTTTTTGCTAGTACACTTTGCTGGTCAGCGCTATTATATACTACACTCTTACATTTCGTTTGATGCTGACTGTTAATTTATCTTCTTCAATAATCTCTTTCTATGACCGGCTGTTCTGTTTTTTTTTCTGTGATTGGCTGACGCCATTTTTCTTGATTCCTTCGCTAGTTGGTGAATATCAGCCTGACAAGAAAGTGCACATCTTCTTTCAGAAATCGTAGCTTCCTGATATTTGGACTAATTGTGTTGACTGTAATCTAAATTGAAAACCATGCACTTTGCAACATTATATCCTTTCTATAATCAAAATAATATTAACAAGTTTCGATTACCTATTATTAAATAGCCGAGAATCCATAGAAATGTACATGATTTTGGGGAATCAGGTCTACAATTCTATGCAAATATTCTGCCGAAAGAAAACTCTCGAAAAATCGTTGAACTATCTAATCTAAAGATCTTTGCTCAGAAAGAATGTGTACATTGAGAGTGAATATCAATAATGTGCATAGTCTATTCTTCAAAAATAGAAAAAGAACCCTCACAGGTACTTTCTGAAAAACTTTGAATAGTGCGACAGAACTTTCAATGAGAATAATCTAGTTTCTTAGCTGCTAATTTACAAAGAGTTACATTCCGCCAACTGGAAAGCAATCATCTTGTTCAGGGCTTGGGACATCAGCTAAAATCAGGGACAATTTGAGAAAAAACCTTCTGATTCTAAAAAGATTTTACAAAGTTACTCTTCACCTTTCCCTCCCCCCCCCTTACTACTTCTCACTTGTCCTATGTGCTTGTGCTGTCTACCCAACTACCCAAAAGAAATGGTCTGAGGGTTGGAAGCCCCTCCTTTGATGATTACTGGACGAAACATACAAAAGTTTACGTTCTGCGTCAACGCGTATCGCTCCACGGTCGGACCTGAAACATACCGATCCGGCACTTTTCCCTTTCCCTCCACATCTTCCTCACGCACTTTCCATCCTCGCCTGAGCATGTTGAAAATAACAAGAAATAATGTTCAAAAGAAAGATAGAAAAGCAGGCATGGTCAGCACCAAACGCGGTTTGCTTAGGGTTCGCTTTACGATCGTAGTAACAGATTGCACCGCCAGTGGAAATTTTGGAAGGATCATAGAAATTTTAGAAAATTACGAGACTGTTTCTGCTCGCATGAAAACCTTTACGGTGAAGTTACAATATGTTCAAAAAGTATGAACATCTATACGAGCAAAGGGTCGGTTACACTCAGCTGGAACCCAGCTAAAGCGGTTCAAGCTGATTCGAAAAAAAAATGGGCACGGCTTCCATTCATATAAGTTCCCATAAGTCACTGGGCCATATTTGGAGCCCCCTCATTTGCATGAACACACCAAATGGTGTTGTACTTGCGTTTTGATTACAACGCTTTTGTTTGTTTTGTAGGGCATGCCACCTGCATGCTGGCGGCTTGCCTGCGGTACCCAGGTAGCTCTTTTCCGACTCGGAGCCTGCATAATAACCCCATTGGTTTTCTCACAGAAGCGGTATGCTTGATCCGGTTCCAGCTATGCCCGGGCGTAATCTTGGCACTGAAAATTTACTACAGTATTAGGGAATGTGCGAAACAAAGAATTTCTGTACTAATTTAAATCGTTTGCTCAATAAAAAATGAACTGCACTTTTCACCAACAAGAATTCGTATATGATTTGAATAAGAAGGAAATCTTAGGAATTTGACGGAACGCTTGACTTTTTTTTCAATCACTCTTATTTGACAAAGTATGGTGAAAATCGCTCTTCTGTAGTTTTGAAAGGTCAATAACGTGCACAAAAACGTTAGATTGGATAAAAAAAAGTGAATAGTGTTGAGCCCATATACTACAGGGTGGTCCACATGAAATGTGACGCACAAAAGCTTTCGTAACTTTGCTAACACTCAGTGAAATTCAAAGCTTTTGTTTTATTCTGATAGATAAGAAAATTCTGTATAAGACACTGCAGATTACTTTTAAGATATCCACCTTTGATTTTGGTGAAAGAATTTATTCTGCTCGGAGGAAATTTCAAAATGCGCGCAATGGTTTTGGCGGAACTTCGTCCCAGGACCTCCTTTCAGCCGATTCAATAGGATGGATCTGAAGGAGCAGGCGTTTTGCTTACAGATAGGAAAGGAAGAAAATTTGTGGGTTTAAAAATGTTTGAGTGGAAAGGCCAAACAGTGTTTTTTCATATGTGTCCAACATGATGTTTGACGGGCTGCAAAAAATTCATTTTTTAGTCTTATTCCATGTTTTGCTGATAGTCGTCTTCTCCATATTCTTTTGTTCCGTTGTGCTTGTTTCCGACTTCGGTTCTTAGTAAAACATGGTCAAGCTTGAAGGTTTATCAAAGTCAGTCGCCATGGCAACGAAAATCGCGATTTTTGGAGATTCTGGAAAAAGCATCGAAAGCAAAGTTTGAGAGGCTGTGGCACTTTCGTGGATCAAAGGTAATACTATAGACGTTTTTGGGAATTTTTAGCATGACTAAACACCAATCCACAGCGAAAAGAAGAATTTGCAGTCGTGTAAACCATCATTTGGACACTGGAAAAAAATGATATTAGGTCGTTCCGAAAGTTCTTTCCGTTTTTTCAAGCTATCACAAAAACACGAGGAATGAAGATAGAGGAACGCTTTAAGCACTGTCCGACGCAGCTTTTCTTCCTCTTTTCAATATCATATCCTGTGCTGCTTGCTCTTGTGGTCAGTGAGATAATGGCCGAAATTTCGCACACATGGTATTCACCACGTCCAAATTTGGAGATATTTCACAATCTTCTTTTTTGACTTTTACGAAAGCTTTGATAGCAGTCAGATAGAGCAAACAAAGTGCAATTTAATGCAATTTTTCGCCATTTATAGCTAGCCTTGAAAATTTTTTAGAATTATTTTTCTAATGCTATCAAAATCCACTTTTGAGGACGCCAAGAGCCATTGAACATAAGACGGCGCACAAATAAGGTGTCATTCGATGCAGCTTTTCCTTCTCTTCCTAACGAAAGTATTTTCTTTCCAATTTGCGGGGTCTTTGGCGATAAAGTTTCCATAATTCTTGATTTTGAACCCGCCCCAGCCTGTACACGTAAATTGCGAAACCTTATATTTACAAGCGATAAACGCTCAGTTGCTTTGTAAAAATTGTGGATAATCGTAACTGACTTTAAAAAGCTTCAAAATCTTTATACTTGCCAGTGTTCGGGGCGTTTCTGTATTTTGGGACTTTGCAAAAGTGAAGACTTTTGGAAAAATTATCTCAAAAAATACTTAAAAGCTAGCTGGATTTGCCAAAAATATGTATTGCATTGCACTTTGTTTACTCTATTTAATTGCTATCAAAGCTTCTACGAAAGTTAAAAACGAAGATTGTGAAAAATTGCCGAATTTGGACATGGTAAAAACCATGTGTTCAAAATTCGGCGATTATCTCAGTGATCACAAGAGTAAGCGACATGGGAATATGACTGCTAGAAAGAGGAAGAAACGCTGCGTCGGATAGCTCCTAAGGCGTTTCCCTACCTTCATTCCACGTGTTTTTATGATAGGTTAGAAGAACGGAAAGAACTTTCGGAACGACCTAATATTTGACCCTCTAGCTCGCCCATCCTTGAACCCACAAATATTATTTTCTGTCTGCGCGGAAGGAATAAGTCTGCCCTTCAAAATTCATGTCGTCTGATTTGTCAGAAAGAAATCTGATGAGAGTTTGCGAGCAGAAACCATCGCGCGCAAATCGAAGAATTTTTGGAAAAGGTTTGGAAGAGAAAAAACGATTTCAAATGAACCAGGGACAAATTATCTCAAAAGTTAGTTGGCAGTTTTTATACAGAATTCCCTTCTCTATCATCTGAGGACAAAAGCTATTACATTCAGTCTTTGAAGTTATAATATTTTCTTGTTGCGTCACACTTCATGTGGACCATCCGGTAGACGTCATGGCTGTGTGCCTACCTTTGATTAAACAGGATTGGTGGCTGGAAGACGACCGCTCGTCACCGCGAGGCAGTCTGCGTCTCTTTCGTAGGCGTGTTCAATTATCATTCTCTAGTTCCCGAAACCCCGTCTTCGAGCAGCCAAACCAAAGGATATGCTATCTGGGAACAGCAAATAAAAGAGTATCAAAGATTTTAGAGTTAAGAAGAGTCTGACGTGTTAGCAGTGACGCTTAATCCACATAAACATACAGAGAGATGTTTGCAGTACGATCTCCAGTGCTTTGATCCTTCGCCGACATCATCTGGATTTGTGAAGCTTTGCTTTTTAATACACAGTCGTAGAGTTTGAAAAGAAGTCGTGATAGTTTTTCCTTGTATTTGATAAGGGCGGATCATCGAGGTGAGGAAAGAGGGTGCATTTGTCACCTAGCATGGCAAAACGAGGTAGGATGTTCTAGACCTTCTATGGTAAATCAAGACCTTCAAAGAGAGGTGTTATCCGTATCTTCATAGCTGTTGATTTCTGAGAATCTTTTTCGATGCTGCTTTTTTGCAACGTTCGGAACTACTGTAGTTGCGCTTAACCCAATATCAATTTCAGGATCAGGCACCGCGCTTCGTTGACCGACGGAAACATGAATGATGAGTTGTATACTGACATACATTTGCTCGGATTTCCCGATGAAGAATCCCAGAGTAATCTTTGATGATCCTTACTTCCGTTTGTTAGAGCTTACAGATTAAAGAAATGATTGATGTTGGAGGCAATGGGCTGTTCTAAAAGGTTCCATCGTTTTTGGTTTAATTTCAAATTACCTCACCACTTTAAAATATAATCTTCGCGAACGTAATAAGTCTTTTCAGTTCAATAAGGACGTATCAATTCTATAAATACCTAGAATTCTTGCAGCGAGAACGAGAATGATTTTTCAAGCTAAATCTCCTTTGAGAGCCCCTTTAGAAAACCATTACTCGTTTGAAAGTAAATTAGTAGAATTGTTGTTCATTATGTAACCGATAGTCTCCTGAGTGATAACTCAAATAGATTCACTGACGAAAGCTTCGCATTCCTATCATAAAGCAGCTTACAATTATTACAACGGGAGATTAAGCTAACACCAAATATTTCTAAATCTGAGATTTCGAGAACTTCATCCTGAGTCAGTAACATACCGTAACATAAAAAATTTTTTTTCAAATAAAATTAATTCTTTATCTGTCGTTCTACGGAAATGAGGTGGAAAGGAAGACTCCATCGCTTTTTTGCTATTCTTTTATCATCTACTAGCTGGCATACCCGACTCCGCATGGCCCTATCATTATGATAAACTACGATAGTCTCCGCCTTAACACCGTACAACATTACGCTGACCCGTTCCTCCTCTATATGCCAGCTACCCCGGCTATACATTGGCGATTACCACGCTTACCTCCCCCTTCTCCTGTCCGAACTCTCAGCTCTGTACCTCAAACATTGCAAAATTCGATAGATCCGATGGATCGATAGCGAAAAGCCCCCCTCCCCCCTTCTTTGAAGTGTACTATGCATACGAGAAATCGTGATGATGGCGCGACCGCGCGCGACATGCACGCACCTCTGGCAACCACATTTTCTTGGTTTTTTTTAATATCTACTTACAAAGGAAGTCCGAACGTTCGAAGTGGCCTTTCCACTTATACCATTTTGAAGAGCATTAAACGCTTATTCCAAATCTAATTTCACTATCTGCCGAGCTCCTCTGCATGCCGAGTTTTGTTGGTGCGAAAAATGAACGCATAATCTAGGTAAAATCAACTTTTATGGTCTTTCCAGCTCCCAAACAGGCAGTGTTGAGTATGAGTGTCTCGGACAGAGGGTATTCTTCAAATGGAGTGCACACTAGACAATTTGAGCAATTCTGAGGAATTTTGTTCCATTTACGCATTCAATTTTTCAACTCAAAGACGACGTCCAGAGGCGCACGGCAAACGAAGACAGATTTGGAATCAGCGTTCGATGCTCTTTTTAGTCATATCAATATCATTGAAAAGGCCACTTCGACCAAACGGACCTCCCTTGTTAGATATTTTCTGTTTACATATGATACATTAAACATTGGAGGTGACTACCCTGGGCGTTAAGGTGAATTTTTTTATGAGTTTATCTCTCTGTGGGTGCAAATAGTGCAAATACCGCAGTCAAATAGTCGTCGATTTTATGAATGGCCTATACCTGTAAAAGTGTCCGGATCTGTTTAGAAATGGATTTTCTATTCGAGACATACGTACAGTGACATACATGCAGACAGACACACAGAAATTCAGCTTTATATAAGCTTCATTAGCTTTATGAGATTTATTTATTTATCTATTTATTTACTGTTGTTATCTAGTCAGCCATCATTTTAAGCAATGCTTATGAATGGTTTTCCCTCCAAAACTAGCGGTCCAAGGGTAAGCAAAAACGGGTAGATTTTGTAAAACAGTCCAACACATTCCAAAATGTTCCAATCAAACCGCTAGTGTTTATGAAGGGTACCAGAAAACTTCGGTCATTCACTATTTCGTGTCCTTTTATCAATAAGAGGATCGCTGAACAAATACACTGTGGTGCACTCATCCATTTACGTATAACATAAGAATAATTAGATGATTGCTATTGTTAGAGGAACATTTACAAGGATAGTCGATGAATGTTTGATTTTTTAACCAGAGCACGCAGACTCAGACTCGCTTTTGGCTAATGTCCTTTCAGCATCTACGTATTCCGATCAAAACGATTCCGACGACTCCGAACTTGCACACTGGCTGGATAGTATTTGCTTAACGCCTTTTTTTGATCAGGTACATGCATGAGCCATTCTGTTTGTAAATATGCCGGTTTTTTCAAAAGGCACGAGATGGGAACGTGGAAGCGATGGAAGACTGTTTGAACAAGCATCCCGAGCTTCTTAACAAGTACGACGGTGATAAAGTAAGTATTGTAAAAAGAATCGCATCTTATGGGCATCAGCTCGCAAAGACCATTCAAAAAAGTGTTTTGTATAAGTTTTAGACTGAATTTTGTGTTAGCATAGCGCGCATTTGCCGATTTTAATATTAGATTGATACATCTCTAATTAATCGAAGCAGATGAAAGGAGTTGGAACTAATTGGAGGATTTATCATGGGTTTATGAGTTCTTGTACATTCGATAAAACGAATTCATCAAATCATCACCGACTTAAAGAAGTGGGTCGGCAAAACGGATTTTCGAGTTTGGTGGTTTTAGTTAGTAGATCTCTCTCCCCCCCCCCCCCCTCCCCCGGGTACACTTTAGCCTCAACCTCATCTGGTAATTCATGCGCTTATTTAAAAATGCGTTTCAAGCAGGGTCAAGCGTGTTGATGCGATCCTGGACGCTCACTTACGACCCCCCCTTGAAGGCACCCATCCTTACGACCCCCCTCCCCCCTCCCCCTCCCCCCTCCCTCCTCCCTCCCCCTCCCCCATCTATCCCCCTTACCTCCCCTACCCACATTTCTCGCGGTAACCTGCATAAACGAATGTCAATCTCAAAAAACGCCTGCGTGAGAACTTCAGTGAGGTTCCGGAAGCAGAATTTCTAGGCCAATGGGTGCGCCAGCACCTCTAGCACATATATACACACCTTCAATAATGTTTGAGATTCTGCAAGTTTACTTTTGAATTTTCAGGCATACTTCAGGCCAGCAAATTCGATTCCCGTATGCGACACAAATTTTACACGGAGAACAAAATGACATTCTTGAACTACAAAAGATGTTTTCGACTAAGAAGCTTAGTTCTTACCTCTTCCACAGTTTTTCCTGCGAAAAAAAAAGCGCTTTAGCGCCGTCCAGAACGACATCAAAAACATGCATGAGCACGGTAGTTGGAAAATTCGTAATTGAGGCCAGGAAAAGACTGAGAGGCTGCAAAGAACACGTTCTGTAGCATAGTGCCCAGATTATTCATAGAAAAAGTTTCAGCCCTTGAGGAGCAGTGAGCTCGAAAAAATTTAGATCAGGCTCTCGCAAATTTAGATGCGATCCTAAAAAGCAAAAACTGGGATTTTTGAGCTTAAAATTTTGTAACTTACCAGAGAAGTTATGAAACAGCCTGAAATTCTTATGATGAAAACTAGAGGGATGGCCTCGCATTACAGCAAGTTTGCAGCTAACAAGCTTTAATAGCTCCGGAGAAATTTAGATCAGGCGCAGATACGACCCCCCTTTTCTCATTTTTTGCTACCATACATAAAATCATAGGAAAATCCGCAGTCTATAAAATAACACCAGATTTCGCACAGCAGTAGCAGGGCTTATCCAAAGTACATATAAATTGTACGGGCCGCATAAATGGCATTACGAAAAGATTTACGAATTATTGATTGTCATCGTTGATCTACACGTGCGCTTTTGTCGAGTGTGCGAGTCTTCAGTGAGCCTTCGGAAGCAGGATGTCTACACCAATCGGTACATCCAACATCTTTATCACACATACATGCGTTGGTAGCATTTGAGCTTCTGAAAGTGTTTATTTTTTGGATTTCAGTCATCCAGTAGGGTTCGATCCCCCGTTTGAGACAATATTTTGCGGGAGAAACAGCGATTCCTATAAAAAAAAGAACTAACAAAGTCATAATCTTTCAAAAGTGCAGCAAATGAAGCGAATTTCTACGCTTGCAAATGTTTTCAAATTATTGTTCACTCGTTTTTATTTGACACATTGGTACACGGCATTCCATGAATTTATTGTTAAGAACATGTAATAATTGCTTGCTATTTGATTTGCTTTCAATCGTACGGTTTTTTATCCAAACTACCCCCTCTTACGACCCCCCTCCCCTCACCGTAGGCCCCCTTTACGACCCCCCGTTGCGACAGTCGCATCACACGCTTGACCCTGGTTTCAAGCTCTACCGACCCCACCTACATCCATTGGGCGGGCAAGGCTGGTGGAGGTTTGAAGAGGGTTTTGCACCTAGCGCATGAATTGGCAGGTGTGGTTGTGGCGAGAACATGACTATATCGGTATGACTTTATGATTTAAGTGTAGTGGGCATTATCTCAAAGATTTTCCAGCGAGACCGAAAAAATACGTTTTTACAGCAATCTTTGAACTGGAATCTTTCGTGTGAATTTCCATGAAAAGGACAACATTTCGGCCGACATCTTTTTGGGTTCCATCGAGTTTCAAAAACTTACAAGAGCGGAAGTCAATAAAACAAGGAACTGCGCTCCACTCTTGCGCAGAGAGTCGCGCACGGAATGCTGGTTCTCGTTAGGAAGTGATTTCTAAGTCCGTTACTGTTTCTAATCGCGTTGTAGTCGCGTTTGATTTGTTACTGCTTCTTATCTCGTCATGACGGTCACAATGATGAATAACGGATTAAGGTTTCGTTGAGACCCCACGGAGATCTACGAAAAGAGCCAAATGCCCCGTCGGCTCCGGTCTTCCTCCTTCGCTGATTTGCGTCTGCGCGCATTTCGCGCTACCTCGCTATCCCAAATGCGGGGCGCGGGGCATTTGGCTCTAGCACTCTTTTTTCGTTGTTCCAAACTTAATTCTAGCAAACTGTTTATCTTATTGAAGCTTTCGACCCCTCTTTCACGTTTGATTTAAGCCAGAAATCTAGCAAAACCGTGTTTTAGAAAAACTCTTCTTTTTCCTCTTTTTCAAGAGTATTTTTCGATAGAACTTGCTTCCGTTCATGATATAGACAACGTCGCTGAGCTAACTTCTTCGACTGCGGTGAAATATCTGACAAAAAAAGCGTTTTTGTCCATAAGCCTTTATTGGAGTTAGTAACTATAGTCGCCCTCACCCCACTAGTCCATCGGTGGACGGATTCAAATTTGAAATGGAGCAGGCCTGTCACTGCAGAGCACCGGCAGGAGACAACGCTCAGCAATTACAAAAACTCAATACAGGTCAAAAACCTTGTAAGGCTCCCGCCAGAGTGCCGATGTTATGCCAGCGCTACGCCAGCATTTCGATCGATACACGTGTATTTCGTTGGGGCGGGGCCAGCTAAGCAGGTAGATGTCCCCAACGAATACACGTGTATCGATCGAAATGCTGGCGTAGCGCTTTCATAACTTCGGCACTCTGGCGGGGGCCTAACAATACGAAAACTGCTAAGCAATGGCGAAGAATTACGCAAAGTGAATGCGTGGGATTTTGAACGGAGAGCTAAGGTGCCGTGCTCTGTCCCGACCTGCCTGCTCCAGTTCGAATTCGAACGTCCACCGACCGACTAGTGGGGTGAGGACGACTATAACTATTTCTCACATGCTCACTTTGCACATGATATCATTTCTCACATGTTTGTGCTCACTTTGCTCAGGATAACAAGCATAACAAAGCTGACAAGTCGTCAGAAACGGAAACTACGACAATGGGGTAAATAGAGGACCGCGTCAAAAAATAGGTTGTATTTGACATGCATTTTGACTTACAAGGGAAGGATGATCAGTCGAAGTGGCTATTTTCAATGAGCTGTATATTAGGAAACCGTCCTCGGTAAGGCAAACTCAAAACAACTTTCGCTAGGTGCCGAGCGGTTTTGTGAGGCGAGTTACAGGGCCATTTTCCTCCAGCGCAGCCGGCGCACTCAATGATGAGCGAGGCGCTAGAAGAGCGCATCAGTGTGGCAGTGGCGCAGTGGCAAGACGGCGGACTAGGAAGCAGATGGTCGAGCGTTCGAGTCCCGTTGCTGCTATTCTGCTTTGCAGTTCTGTAAAAAATTTATTGGGTGACAGTTAACGAAAAATACTCATTTTCAGGCAGTTGAAACAAGCTATTTACTGCAAAAAGTCACTATTTTTACAATAAGCTATAATCTTCTACAATATGTAAATCTGTGGAGGTTATGATGTCACAACAATGGATTCAAATGATATATTAACATGTATGGAATGCGGCCGCAAAATGCTCAAAGCAGAAGGCTTCTCGCAGCGCGCGCACTTGTAAAATTGCAATCGATTGCAATCATCAGCTTCATTACCTATCAAGGCAGGACCACGCGGGTAAAGGCAAGTGCCAAGTATGCGCATATAGCAAAAAGCTCCGCTGCCAATCATTACGATGTTCTCGCCAGCCGGATACATTAATAACCATCCCGGCGAATTCGAGCCTCCTATTCAGTACTGTTTTTCACCGACTTTGATAGGCAATTGTGAAGGTGCTGATTGTCATCGTTTATATTTTACCCGATGTGCGCGCTGCGAGAAGCTCTTCTGCTTTGAGGTCGTATTCCATACATGTTTATAAATCATCTGTATCCATTGTTGTGATATCATAACCTCCACAGATTACATATTGTAGAAGATTATAGCTTATTGTAGAAATAGTGACTTTTTTTGCAATAATTAGCTTGTTTCAACTGCCTAGAAATGAGTACTTTTCGTTTACTGTCACCCAATAGGCTTTTTACAGAACTGCAAAACAAAATAGCAGCAACGGGACTCGAACCCTTGCTTCGTAATCCGCTTTTTTGCCACTGCGCCACTGCCACATTGATGCGTTTTTCTAGCGCCTCGCTCATCACTGAGTGCGCCGGCTGCGCCGCAGGAAAATGGCCTTGTAACTCCCCCCATAAAACCGCTCGGCACCTAGCGAAAATGGTTTTGAGTTTGCCTTACCGAGAACGGTTTCCTAATGTACAGCTCATTTCAAATGGCCACTTCGACCGATCATCCTTCCCTTGTTAGGAAAAAACAAAACTTTACGTTTTCACAAGTGATTCTCTCATCGTTCATTTTCTTCTTGATAATCACCACTTCCGAAATAAATTCATTTTGAAACGATTATAGAGAAAAAATTGGCCCTCGTTTTTCCCCGTTGTTATGGATCGGTCCTGGAGCGAAAAACTGCAATTCGAAATGCCGCCAAATAAAGTTTTCAAACTCATTGCAGCGCTTTCGTCTAAATTTTAGAGGTTTTCAGCTTTTGCCATGTAGC